CTTGAACATACACCGTACTACCAAGCCACAGATTGCTCGATGGTTCGATGTGGTACAAGAGTATGACATGGATGTCAAGTACAGACCAAGTGAAAGAATGGCTCATGTCGACGCGCTGAGTAGAGCCCCGTCTAACGAAGCGGTGACGGACGTCGAGGAAATAATCAACCAACGCTACGATGTCTACACGTTTTTGACGCTTGAAGAACGCGTAAGGCTTATGCAGTGGGGAGACTGTGACATCAAGGGACTCATTCATATACTACAAGAGACAGGAGAAAACCAATCTAAATACAAGAGGAGTGTGGTCCACAATTTCGTACTTAGGAATGAGCTGTTATACCGAGTCAATGATGGAAGGGAGCTGCTGGTGATACTGCGGTCGATGAGGAAGGGAATTGCCATTGCTGCCCATGAACAAAGTGGTCACTTTGCATTGGAGCGGACTATAGCAAAAATAACCGAGGACTATTGGTTTCCGCGCATGCGACGTTACGTGAGACAGCACATAAATATGTGTATCGATTGTCTGATGACTAAGAAACAATCTGGCAAGAAGCAGGGGGTATTACACCCAATACCACCTGGTACACGACCATTTGACACAATCCATATGGACCATTTGGGACCATTTGAGACGAGTACTAAGGGAAATCGATATTTACTGGTTATCATTGATAATCTGACCAAATATGTCTTATTATACCCAACCTGGAGTACAGATACCCATACTATTATTCGCATAATGGCGGACTTTGTCAAACAACGTGGATATCCTAGGCGGATTATAAGTGACAGAGGAAGTTGTTTCGCGTCAACTGCATTCCAGCAGTTCTGTGCTGATCAGGGAATACACCATGTACTGAATTCGACTAACCATGCCAGGGCAAACGGACAAGTCGAACGAGTTAATTGAACACTAATACCAATGTTAGCTATACACGCGACCGACCAGTTACATTGGGACACAGATATCAAGGACATCGAGATGGAGCTTAACACAGCAGTTAATAAGACTACATCAAAAACTCCATTTGAACTTCTGCACGGATATCAACCGAAATTATAATCGACGCAACTGCGCAGCTTAAGTAGAACTCAATCGGAATGGTCTGACCCAGCGGTTCTTCAGGACGAAGCACGGAAAGCCATTGAGTTGGCTCAAGTACGCATGAAAACAGACCATGATCGCCAGACACACTTGCGGGCCCATATTCGAGGTGGGTGAAGTCGTGGTAATGCCGCGGGTCCCGACCCCGGGGCAGTCATCTAAGCTACAACCCAAATACCGTGGGCCATTGCAAATTATCGAGAAATTACCAGGAGACACGTACATAGTGATGGGCACAACTGAACGAGGTGGTAGGGTCCATGCCACAACTGCTCATGTATCAAATCTAAAGTCCTGGAAAATCGTAAATGATTCAAGTGAACTGGAGAGCCTACCAGAAGACCAAGATGAACCGAACGAAACCAAAGAGGAGTTATCACTACAAACGGACTCCGCAGGGCCTGAACCGGACAATGAAGGTATCCATACGACTGTGCGTCGAGGAAACAGACGACGACGTCCACCTACTTACTTACGGGACTATATATAAGAAAATCCACTACTAAATATTCTATATTAATATTTTTATATTGATGTTATTAATTATTATACTGTTATTATTATCATTCTTATTAGTAACCACCGTTGAATTATTAATTATTGTTCAACTTAATTCGTTCATGTACGAGGACGTCCCTACGTCAGAATGGACGAATGTAGCGTTAAAATACACTGTTACACCTAATACAGGGGGGGAGAGGGCTTCCTGTTGTCTGTTAAACTATATAAGTTAGTTAGTGCCTGTGTGGCGGTCTACCGATGAGGTGTAGATTGTGTACCGTAATATAGTATTGTTCGTGTGTGTAATTTAAACTAGCCTTTTTATTCTATTAGTGTCGTAAATCGGTAACCCTTAAATCTTTTCCTAACAATATATATATATATATATATACAGGGTAATTCTTTTATCAGGAACCAGTCAATATAATTTAATTTTCCATACTGTTATTATACAATGTGATTTCAAATTAGTTGTTTCGATAGCAACTTTTGATTTTCAAACGTGATGATAAGTTTTTTGTTTTTAAATTATGGTTCAAAACTAAAAAATAAAATATTATTTATGACTATTTAGTAATAATTTTAACTTTTAATAATTACGATTTACAAGTACTTACAACTTGTTTTTATTTGCAAGTCGATTTAATTACATTTTAGATTAAACTGTAGTCAAAATGTAATTTGACACCACTGACATCAATTTCACGATAACTTTTATTTGAAAACTGTTTCAACTTATTACTTAATGTTAAATTATAAAACGGGTACTCAATCAATTTGTTTGTTGTGTTTTGTTTTAGATAACTACTCAAAATTGTGTACAGTTCAAATCAAACTGCACAACATGGAATTTCAAAAAAAATATTTAGTATTTACAGTCAACTTATGGCAATGATCTGTGCATCTAATACTAATATTATGAATTAATGTGTTTATGTTTTATTATTTAAAAGACATCTAAAGAGAACCCATACACTATAGTAAATCATTTAATTTATTTCACTCTTGCGGTATGATTACCGTTCCATGGTTTTACTTTAATATGACTTCAAGATTGAAAATATTACCAAAAAATAGTACGGCGACCTACTTTGAAATCATTTTATTGAAATATAAAACAATGTAAAAACAATAATGCACGCGACAATACCCTCCTCGTAACAGAACGGTCGCTTACGGGAGAGTGTCCCCGACAAAGTAATTTGGGCGGCCTTAAATAATAAACATTATTGACATTTTTACTGTGTAGACAATTTTGTGTAGTTTTGTTTTGATTGTTTGGCCTACATTTAATTGCTTATTTGCTAAAATACATTGGTCTTCAAGAACTATACTACACTACGTTGGTTGTAAAGAAATATTGTAATTTAATATTATTTATTAATTACATAAGAATAAAAAATAATAATTTATTTAAAAACAAAATGTCTAACTGGAAATTTGGAATAAAACAAATAAAGATAATTCGGATACGACTCAATTTAGAGATCTTGAGCTTCTGTACTTGTGGATCTAACCAGCCATACTTAATCCAACGATTATTAAATCTAGATAAGCACAGCTACCTATAATAACAGTCTTTCTTGGGCAAAAGGATTAAAAATACCTATTCGATGTATACACATTATGACTGGAATTTCCAATAACATCTATAGTGATTCCAATTCGAGCGGTATAGTAATAATAAGATGAATTTTATTCAGCACAAATCTTAAATAATCTTATAGGATTTCGCACAATAATAGAAATGAAATTGCCGTTTATTTTTATGAAATCTGCGCAGAATATATAATCAATAATAAAATAATATGAAGTACTTACGTTTAGCAGTTCATTCGATAGTTCAACATAGTTCTGAGCATAAAAAATACAAATTCAAATAGCATGTTAATCAATACTTATTATTCTTTTGTAGGCAAAATAACAAACGGATTTACAGCATCTATTATATAATGGAAAATTACACATCCGCGAATTAGCTGACGTAGCAGTTTTTCTGACAACTGATAATTCATGAAAAAAATCAAATGGTACATAACCTCAAATTATTTATTGTGCCAAGAGCAATTTCACAAAAAAACCCGCCAAGAAGAAATTTCTTTTTTTTTATACAATAAATTTACTTTTATTTAGTTTTTTTTTTTAATTTTATTAATGCTTTGTTTAAAATTGTATACTCGATAAATATTGTGTGCATTCTGTATAATTTAATACAAGGTTTTCTGAAAATTATTACTATTCATATAAAATATTTGTTTTTTCTTTTGTTAATTTATTAATTAGATAGTAGAGTAAACCCATTTCATACTATACAAGCTATAGTTAAAATATATTACAATAAATTAATGAGATATAATTTTTGGAAATTCGATTTGAACAACAACGTTTTTACTTACATTTTCTTCCTATAATTTCACGATAAATTGCATAACCTTCACAATTCAGATGTAAAGAACAAACGACAATACTTAAGCTAAAACAACGCAAATCCCACTAAACCTAATAAAATAATGATTAAGTATTGTTAGTACCATAGATTAGTTGAACATAATAGTAAAAAAGATTAAGGAATCTGTGATAATACCAACTGTTTTAACATCTTAAATGGATTAAACGAAAACCCTACTACAACATTTTTTTACATAGTTATATTTATATGTACATCTTAATGTAAAATATTTATAAAATTGTGCTTTTGTGCTAACTATATTTTTTCAAATAAAAGCTTTTAGAAAATTCGTGTTATTCATTGTTTGTTTAATGTGTGGTAGTATAAAATATTTTAATAATAAATAATAAATGTGAACACTACATTTCTTCAGATCATATACCGCTTTAATATGGGTCTATTATAATATAGGTAAATATGGCTATTGTGTTTTACTATTCCGAATTAGCCAAGCTTGGAATAAGTCTACAGTGAAATATTTCAACTTTTTTTTTATGGAAGGCGTTATCTATAATTAACATGTATCGTTGCAACGGATCATTATTTGGGACAGAATTTTAAAATTAATTATATCACATTTTTTAATTAGTGGAACTTTTAAATTATCACTTTATCTCAAATATACTCCAGTAGTTTGTTCACACAAGTTGCAATTAAATATTATTATATGATGCTAAAAACTTTTAATTAATGTATAACTCATTGTTTAAGTAGGTCAAACTTGCCATTTTAATTCGAATTCAATTTATCCTAAGACCTTAAACCAGTATTTATTGTCATCTAACAATTACATATTTCCATTATGTGACCTAGTATATTCTTTATCGGAATAATAAATATTTCAATTAGTTCTTATTACCATCGACCACCTATAAAAAAATTAATAGTGTTTTGTATACAAGTAGTATAAAGACAGTCGTCTATACGGTATTAAGAGGTTCAGTAATAGAATAATCATTAAGTTGTGAAGCTGTGCTTTTGTAAAAAAAATAACAATGATGTGGAAAATATTATTCTTTATCGTGGTTCCTGTTTCGCTGATCAAGCCATTGCCTCAAAGTCCAATTCATACAAATTTGGTAAACCAAACTGTAAGAAAAATGATTTGCGTATAAGCGTTTAACTGTGATGAAATAAAATGGGCTGTATTTGTACTCATACTCAGTTAAATTTGTTAAAGTCAATTGAATTTTCTTAACCACAATTTCCATTATATTACTAATAAAAATAGTAAAGTGAAGATTTTGTTTATTTTTTCAACATACTCGAAATGCATCATAAAACAAATATTTTTTTGTTTAATAATTTTATTAACTCTTTCATTTATATACATATTTTGTTTTAAAAATAAGTTTAGAACAAAATCATTTAAAAAATATTGAATTATTTTAATAATATCACCTAAAATGCATATGTATGTTAAATGAAGTCGAATTGACTTAAATTTTACTCAAAAGCTGATGTCTAAATCAACAACGACTTTGACTTAAGCCGCTTATTTTTACTTACAAAGTAAGCCGCTTATTGTTAATTATATAATTTGTCATATAAGATAATAACAGACATGGAAAAATACTCATCGTTGGAAGACCGAAACGTTTTCAGCTCCGCATCTAAGTTAATTTACATAATATAATGGTTTGTTCGATATTTCTTTACAGAATACCAATTTATTGAACAAAATAGGAATGATGGGTGACAAAGTGATATTTGAGATCAACAACATCAGGAATAAACTTCTAGCATTAATGTTGGATCGGTCTTCAAAACCGCCAACAATCAGCGATCTACATGCATGTCCAGTTTGCAGTAAGAATTTCATGTCCTAATCGTTATCTATTTATTTTAAACACGACTGAAAACACTGGTTGCCTTTAATATCAACTGAAATATCAAGAAAGCATTTGGAAGATGTTTTTCTTGTTGCTTTTTCATTTTGTAGGAAGAATAAAAAACTGTGTTATAATTGTATTAACCTATCTATAACTTAATTGGATAAATACTATGTTAATTATCATTTATACAGTGTATACCATTAGTTGCATTAAAGAAATACTAAACCCTATGTGTGTAGAAATTGTAAATATGCATTTAAGGCAAGCGGTTTTTTTTTTTTTTAAGAAATTCGCGTCTTCATAAATTAGTTAATTCTCAAACCATTGATTTAAAAATTACAATAATACTAAAACCGTTGTAAATATTAAAAAAAAAAAAAAAAAATTGGAAATCTGTTCACAAATTTGGCGATCTCGCGGTTAACCTGGAAAAATATAAGCCGTTTACCTACATACATACAAATATTATAAAGTTTATTATGTGCATGGCGATGCGCCTTAAAGTTGCTTGAATTTCAGAATGCGGAACTGAAGGTAAGAAGGGAAAAATAGTGGGAGGCACACAAGTGCAGTATGCGCATAAATATCCTTGGATGGCTTCCATAGCTGCTATCGGGTATGAAGCCTATGGCCGGCTATGTGGCGCTGCTTTGATCAATGATAGATACGTTGTGACTGCAGCTCATTGTATAAAGTAATAATATGCAGTTTTGAAACGTTTGCTGCTGCAATGTTGTGCGTCACTGACTAAACTGTTTTGGTTGTGTTAAGGCCGATGCTTTTACCCTTAATGGAAGTACGGCTCTACGAACACGACCTGGAAAACAACGTGGACAACGTTTATCGATTCAAAGTGAGGCAATTAATAATGCACGAAAATTACGATATTAGAAAACACGACAGCGATATTGCCCTACTGCGTCTCGACATTGACGGAGGTGTACCGATGAGCGAAAACCTTCATCCCGTTTGTATGCCGAAAGAAGGTGCATTTTGTTTTTTTAATAGTCCGGTTTTTCAACTAATATTCACACGTCCACGTGGTGTACTCAGGACTCACCTACGAACACCGACTAGGCGTGGCCACGGGCTGGGGAAAGCTAAAAAAAGGCGGTAAGAAACCTATGGTCTTGCGGGAAGTCACCGTTCCGATATTGGACCATGCCAGTTGTGCAGCGACAAGCAGTATGGTAACCGAAAACATGTTTTGCGCTGGATTACCAGAAGGGGGAAAAGACACGTGTCAAGTAAGTATAGGGTGTCTCAAAAAGAACGCCGGATTTAAATCTGCTATAAATTAAATTTATTTCTCTTAAAAAAAAAAAACATAACAAATATATCATTCTCTTCGGGAGAAGTTTAACAGTGAAAAACAATTTAGGGCATATGACCCCCCCCCCGTACTAGCCCTACAGGCGATTATTCTTTCCATAAAATGTATCCGCTTGAGCAAGAACTTAAGCAAGTAATCCTTCGTGTCCTCAACGAACTTGATGGGGCAATGTGTGATCGAGTGATCACACATCCGGCGTTCTTTTTGAGACACCCTGTTATACCGCACAATTCGTGTAAATTGGTTTTTTTTTTTTAAACTGAAAATACACGAAACTGAGACTAGATAAAGCGAATTTCAATTGAAAACATCATTGGCATTGTCGAAATGTAATAATTAAAAATTTTACAACTATACAGGGCGATAGTGGCGGCCCATTGACCGTCACGAACGGTTCAGTTCATCGCCTGGTCGGTAAGCATGACGTACATTTTTTAATTTTCCAAATACATCATTGAAATGGTTACTTTAAATAATACAGAATGTATACATCGATCGTTATGTGTACCTTTTAGGTGTCACGTCGTGGGGCGATGGATGTGCTGTACCAAAAAAACCCGGGTTATATGTTAAAGTGAACAATTACTTAGATTGGATCAAAGAAAACACATTAGACGCTTGTTGGTGTGACGACATTTAGACGGAAGACAAGTTCGAATGTTAAATTGTGAATTTTACAATAGCCATGCTATCAACGAAAATCGATTGCAACGGTTATGATAAATACATGTGTATTCAAATTATTTGCATAATGTTGCATATTTGTCGAATAAACGGTTTTGCATTACACCTTACGTTTTTTGGTTTAAAACCAATTTTATATAGACTATAATATGGATTCTTACACCTTTGCAGAATATAAGTATGAACTCAAAGCGGGTTGTCACTTGTCAGGTATTTGGTCGCTTAAAAATTAATGGCGTTACCTTGAATCTATTTAATTGAGAATTATTTCCTATTAAATACCGATTGGTCGATAACCGGTTTTGAATATGTACTTTCAAAGTCATTAGAATTTTAAAATTTATACGGGAGGTCGAGTGCGGTTGAGTAATGCGCACGGATAAAAATTGTATGTACTACACTGCACTTTTATTTCCATTCCAACTTGTAAATGTTTCCCTAGAAAATGAGTGTCTTGCGTTTAATTGATCACCCTGTATAATCCCTGTGCTTACAACAATAATAGGCAGCAATTTTTTTGAAAATCTCATTTCGGTAGGTCATTAATTTCAGAGTAAAAAACAAAAAAGAATATGATATAATAACGTAATGTAATATTGCAGCTACCAGCCAACGTCATATCACTCCCACTTTTGTGTTAATGCCGTGGAGAGTGAGTACGTCAGTTAAATGTTACAGTATAGTATTGCCAGTCAATTTAGATGTGCGGTCGGTTTTATGTCACGCACATAAATACATATTAAATTTTCAGCAAGATTATTTTCGCATTTAATGATTGTAAGTTTGTTTTTTATTTTATTTTCTACGTAATTGTTGTAAGCGTCGAGAGAGTCTCCACCAAGAATACAATTTAAGTCTAAAGTATTTAAATTGGCAAGGATAACATGCATACAATATCACTATATAGATATGTTCACAAATCATTTTGCCATATAAATTACCGACAGTTTGATAAAAAAAAAAAAAATTAAAAATTAAATATATTATTATCAACAGAAATAATATTACAATGTAATACGGTTAAAGACAATTATTGGCTTATCCAAATGCTACATAATACAACTTTGCTTTGTACGTGCATAATATTATATTATCATACACTTATGGTGCATACAGCTGCTTGCAATATAAACTTTGATATAACTTTTTTTCAATACAAAAACGTTTCATTGTTGGAAGGGTGTGGCATCCCTACGACCTACAATTACACAGTTGAACCGAAAGCACTCAAACAATTGACTTCGTTCTCATTTTGATGTCCTTACTGTACATGGCCTAATATAGATATTATCTGTTGTTTTTTTTTTACTTTTTTCGACATAATGTATTGCTTAAAATAGTTAATATATGTACTTCATTTTTGTAAAAAATCTGTAATATGAATTTTTTAAGTTAGAAATGTTTCATCACCACTGGCGATAATAATTGGACTTTCATCGAAATTATATTGACCATATTTGACAATTGTATATACTCTTTGACGGTTCAAATCAGTAGTGTGTTTTTTTTAAATAAAATTTAGATTGTAAGTACTGAACACAGTAAATATTAATCGGTGTATAATCCGCAAACATTTCAAAATAAAACGGTTATTTCTAAATAGTTATACATTTACTAGTGTTTTTACAAATTTGAAAAACTAAAAGAATGTGTTAGTTGCCATTATACATTCTATAAAATATTAGCCTTTTTCAAATTATTCTCTTTTGTACTTTTATAGCTGCAATTAGTTCGCCCAGCTTTAAGTTAGTTTTCAAAAATAATCCATTATGTGTTAAAGCCTTATGAACTTAAGCTTTATAAATGGCAACGCATGAATCCCGGACGAAATTTCAAGTTTAATGAAAAGTTCATATGTCATGTCGAAAGTAGGACGAAAAGTCAGATTATAATATACATCGTACATCCATCTGATGTAAGACACTCATTTGCTCAGAAAATATGAATATTTTGAAACTTACTATATTTTTCCATATTTAGAAAACGTTTGCTTAAATGCGTAAAAGAAGTGTGGACTTGGCTTTTCAAACGGGAACATATATTTTTAATTACACAAATATGTAGACAACAAATTTTAAAAAAAATGTTAGTGTTTGAATCTTGAATTTTTTATCAATCTTTTCTTTTGCTATGACATGGTAAAGATTTCAATTCGAGATCAATATTCATTTGGTCTTTACAAAAGGAGCCAAACAGTTTGCCATTAGATAATAATATTGATCCCCGTACATACTGTCGCTGTCGCTGTGTTTGAAAAGTTAGATAAGATCCGTTTGTCTATCATTATCTCAAAACATTTCATTGTGTTTGGACTTTGGTTATCGGTGTTCTCGCCTATCGGACAATGCAAACATAAATATGAATTTCATCGGCTACTTGACTTTCAAAACTGAAGACATGCGATAATAATTATACAAGGCGTCCCACAAAGATAAGACAAATGAAATAACACTTTTGTTCTAGTGAATATTTTTAAGATTTGTTTTTTTTTTTATTAATTTATAAGCACCACGTTTTTTATTGCACTTTACTATTTTACTTTTTTAAGTTGTTTTTTATTTTTTTTAGTGTTAGTCCAATTAGTATTATAATTTTCGACCAGCGGATCCTTGTGTAGTACAATACTATCCTTTTATGTATAATATATATATTTTTTAATTAAAAACTTCAAATGTTTATGCTCAACAACCGATCGGGATAAAACCACCGAGTATTTTTTTCGAATATTTTTGGAGCATTTCCACAATTTTTTTCATTATTTTAAAATAACAACTTACTTTTTTTGAAAAAATGTGTAGGTTAAGTATACACTAGATACAACATACCCTATAAACAATGTACTAAAAATTATATGTTTACTATATAATGGGTAATACAAAAAAACTCCACTTTTAAAATAAATTAAGATAGTTTGTTAAATAACTAAACACGATTTTTAATTAGAGATAATAAACTTTCGAACCATCGTGTGTATTTAATTAAGTTTTTAAACTGAGATCAATTTGCTGACTGTTCTTCTACAGAATTTAAACTCGACAAAACTGATACTAACGCAGCACTCAGTCGAGCTGTAGCAGTTGTAAAGATGAGTAACGTGTTATTTATAAAATGGTTGTTTATTTTTACAGGTCGATTTTTCATTGGCTCCGCAAAGATGACTCGACCCGACAAAGACATGGAGTATTTTGCCGAGAAGTATCCGAGGCTTTTCCGACATCCGAGTGACGTTGACCGGAAGTGGTTTAGTGAGATTTTGAAAAGGGTTTTTGTTGGAAACGAAAACGACCTCGCAAGAACGACAGGGAACTGATGGACAACACTAACTTCCCGTCATCCGTCGGCGGCGGCGGCAGACCAAAATTTCAAGGGCCAACCTTTTGCGAAATCTAACCGACATTTTGCAGAAACTAACGAAATATTAAATAAAATGGGCAAACAGCCGATTGACTGGTCGACGGTACCCGAGGACGAGCGCGGTGGCCAATCGAATGATCTTCTAGCAGAAGAAGAAATCAATGGCTCTCAGGCGCGTATCCAGGACTTTTTTTTTCGACAAACTTAAACGACCTAAGTTCTGAACTGTGTAATACGCAAAAAAAGAAAATACAAGACAGTCCGAGTTAAAATAGCTGTTACATTTTAGTAAAATGTATTACGTATGTATATGTATTGTAAAATGATATTACAATACTAAATCAATTTTTCTTTTTTTCTGAGCCATTTGATCCGACACTTCTTCGGGGTTAATTAACATTTTTCTATGAATATTCGTACGAGCTTATCCATTTAAACGGTTTTCTGACATGGTATTTCTCAGATAGGTTTTTAACTGTCGCAATGTCGAAAATTTTGTAAAAGGTATAAAATGGGGTGTGCGGTTGAAGTCTCTCTTAAGTCAATCCCGTTAAATTAAAAAAAAAAAAAAAAATAGTAACAATATTCGTAACGATTGTGTTTAAATTTTAATATTCTTTATAATCTAATGATTAAAGAAAGTATAAACTGAATTTAAAAATCTCAATTCCCAAGCAGGTATAACAAAAAATAAACAATATTCGTAGGACACCCTGTATACTAGTTTTTTTAATTCTGTAATTAAAACAAATGTTCAAAAATTAACATTTATTAAATATATGGTATTTATATTAAACTAAGTAAATATAATAATTATTAATATTTAAGTATAATTATACTATAATATATATTTTATATTATAATTATTTTTTTTTATTGTTATATTTATAATATTAATATATTATATTATTTATATTATATTAGGTATCAGTATAATTGTATAAAATTATATTATAATATTATTAATAATTAAGTATAAATTAATGAAATAGTCTGTAATAAATAAATGTATTTTTATCCGTTATGGAATAGAATCTAAAAAGGCCAATGTTCAATATTGACATGTTCGGCGATTTTTGTTATTCTAATTTGTTGTAACAATGATAATTAAATAGCTATAATTACTGACAAAGTACATCTTATCAAAATTATATAATACTACAACAAAATAAGTTTTTATTATTCATAGTACCTACAATGTGTAATTTCTCAATATAAATTATTAAAAAAAAAAACAATAATTATAAAAAAATGCTTCATTTAGGATTATTTTATTTTTGTATATTCAACAAAAGTGTTATTTTGAATATGGACTAAAAACATTACCCTAACAGAATGTACAGTATTTGTCATTCTACAAGGAACATTAATTACAATAACTGATAGAGTAATAATTTGATTGCTTAGCTCATTTTGAACTTACTTTTAAAATATTTTGAAGTTAATTTACGCCATTTGGTGCGATATAAACTTTTCATTCCAAGAATCTTATTTCATATCAATAGGCATAACTTTAAAATATTGCACCCATTTAAAACGCATTAATTAAATAATTAATTCCGTCCTGGAGAGGTAAATCGGAGTCAAAGCTACACAATGCGCAACGATGGACGGTGACTATAAAGAAACAATACAAAAATACAATCGCGAGCAACATCATATTATAATATATTATGTGGTACCGAATGTGTGACAAAAAAATTATACATATAAATATTTACAAATAATTTGTAATTTGAATTTGTATTA